TCTCTAGGTCCCCTGGCGTGCCTGTTGTTGGATCTGGGTCTGCTGCTCAAAGGCTCGTTCCACATTGCCTGCTAAGGCCTGGAATTGTTTGCTGATATTGGCAAGAGGGGTTCGGAGTGCTTCTTTATTCCCTAAGGGTCTCTGGATGACTCGTCGTTGCTGTTTGGTTATACCGCGGCCTTTGCTGGCCTGGCATGGTGCCTTACCATCCCTAAGGAATCTAGGGGGATCCTGAACTTCTTCATGGTTTCCTTGATCATTTTCCTGCTCGGTCTCATTCATAACCAGCCCTAGGGGCCCTGGAATATTCCATCGGCTTGGGGTTGGGGTGTCTGGTACCTCCAGGATCTCCGTGAGCTGGCTTGCCGCGTGGCCGTTTGCCGGGGGTGACGCGTGAATAACACCACCACCATGGAGATCGGGGGGTTCCATGGTGGTTTCTCGGGGCCTAGGGGCCTCTCTGAGTTGAATGACGCGTTAAAAAGACGTGTTTTTTGTAGGTGCTGATTTTGGTGTTCTTCTTTCTTCAGGATGGATGGGAACGACAAGTCTCCTAGCTATGCTAGCAACTTATTTTTGATATACAATAATAATGCATATTTCGTGCAGTTGAGTTCAGATGACTGTCGCGTGTTGATTTTTTCTTTCGAGTAAATTTTTTGTCTGTCGACAACCTGGCTTCCCGCCTGCTGACCAGGATGACGGCCTCGTGGCTCCAGATCCCCCCCAGCTCGCCCTTCTCGCTGGCCAACATTCCCTTTGGCATCATCTCCACCGCGTCGACGTCGTCGCCCGTCCCCGCCATTGCCATTGGCGACTACGCGCTCAATCTGTCCGCATTCGCCTCCGCGAATGGCTTCTCCCAGCTCCCGGCCATCCATCCCCATCTCGACGTCTTCCACCAGCGGACGCTGAACGCCTTCGCCGCCCTGGGCCGTCCTGTGCACCGCCAGGTCCGCGAGTATCTGCAAGCGATCTTCAAGGCCGACACGCCCTATCCACAGCTGCTCAAGGACAATGCTGCTCTCCAGAAAGAGGCGCTCATCCCGCTGACGCAGGTCACCAACCATGTACCCCTGCAGATCGGCGACTACACGGATTTCTACGCCGGCTTGCACCACGCCTACAACGTCGGCGTGCTCTTCCGCGGCCCCGACAACGCCCTACAGCCGAATTATAAGCATCTCCCCGTGGGCTACCACGGCCGGGCCTCGTCCATCGTCCCCTCGGGCACCCCGATCGTCCGGCCCAGCGGGCAGATTCTGGCCAACCCGACGGCGGACCCCAAGGTGCCCATCTTCTCGCCGTGCAAGCGTCTCGACATCGAACTGGAGCTGGCAGCTTTCATCAGCAAGGGCAACAAGCTCGGCGAGCCCATCCCCGTCGACCAGGCCGAGGACCACATCTTCGGCCTCGTGCTGATGAACGACTGGTCTGCGCGCGACATCCAGGCCTGGGAGTACGTGCCGCTGGGGCCGTTCAACGCAAAGAACTTCGCCACGACCATCAGCCCGTGGGTGGTGCTGATCGATGCGCTGGAGCCGTTCCGCGCGCAGGGGCTGGAGCCCGGGAACCGCGAGACTCTGCTGCCATATCTGCGCGAGAAGAAGGCTGCGAACGGCTACGACATCCGGCTGGAAGTCGAGCTGAAGAACGCGGGCGGCAAACCGACGCGCATCGCGACCAGCAACGCGAGAAACCTGCTCTTCTCGTTCGCGCAGATGGTGGCCCACCACACCATCACGGGCTGCAACCTCAACACGGGCGACCTGCTGGGCAGCGGCACCATCTCGGGCAAGGAGCCCGGCACGCAGGGAAGTCTGCTCGAGCACACCAAGGGGGGGAAGCAGCCCATCACCCTGGCGGACGGCTCGACGCGGGTGTTCCTGGAGGATGGCGACGAAGTGACCTTGCGGGCGGTGGCGGGCGAGGAGGGCAGCTACGTCGGGTTTGGCGAGTGTGTGGGGAGCATTCTGCCGGCGTTGCAGAATCTGAATGGCAGTTAATTCGACTAGGCAATGATGAGCGTATTGCAGAGAAGTAGACATTATATCTTACTCTAGACGGATTTGTTATGAATTCAATCGATTAGTATCCTACGACAAGTTCTCTCTATGTATGCAGTACCTGATGTAATGTCCAGATACCCAATCTCGATATATCAATATCAAAAATATCAAGCTGAAGACGAATTAATGATTTTTCCCTTTGTAGCAAAAAAAAATGAAAAAAAAATGAAAAAAAAATGAAAAAAAATGAAAAATCCCCCTGCTTGTAATATCTACTAGATCCACCGGATATTACCGCAGCGGAATCCATTCCGTCACCAACCGAGCAGACAAAACACAGCCATTTACGCCATAGCCTATTAAATAATAATAATTATTATTATTATATGGTATGGTTAATTAGGTAGACTCACTCCCGCGGAATAATAAGAATAATAATACAGCAGACTTCTTCCGTTAGACTAGTACTTGGTTGATCTCGAAAGATCCGGTGATAGCCTGGCCTCGGATAGGGAACTGTAACTTAGTAACTAACTAACGGAGGATTTTGTGATCTTCCCCGCATGGATAGGATTGATTTATTAATGATTGACTTTCTTGTAGCTTTTTCTCGGAAGAGGGGAAATGAAGAGGAACACATAACTGGGCTGGATCACGGGGTATAAGTATAAGAACAGCTGACTGCAGATCACGTACTGTACTTGGGTCCTGTTCTGGTATATCGACGTCCTAGCACTGTCTTCGAGTATATCAGTCAATCAACCTCGTCAGGCCATCTCAACCCGTCAATCCTATACTACTTCAACCGGCACATACACTACACAGATATCTGCATACTCGAGGGCTATTCAATGGCAACCACAGCCCAGCCGCTTCCCACCTTCGACCTGCACACCTACTTCCGCTCCTCCTGCTCCGCCCGGCTACGAATCGCCCTGAATCTGAAAGGAATTCCCTACAATCCCGTCTTTGTGCATCTGCTCAAGGACGAGCAGTTTTCCGAGGCGCATCGGGCATTGAATCCGTCGCTGAGCGTGCCTGTTCTGGTTGTGCACAAGCAGTCTGCTGGAAACAACGAAGCTGGCTCTTCGTCCAGTCTGGTTATTCCACAATCGCTCGCCGCGCTGGAGTATCTCGAGGAGATTCTACCCGATCGTCGACCTCTCCTCCCCTCCGGCCCTGACAAGCGCGCCCTCGTCCGCACCCTGATGAACATCCTCGCTGCCGACGTCCAGCCCGTGACCAACCTGCGCATCCAGAAACGGGTGCGCTCGCTCGGCGCCGACGCGACGGTCCTCGCGCGCGAGACCACGCAGGCCGGCTTCGCGGCCTACGAGGCCCTCGTGTCCCGAACGGCAGGCATCTTCAGCGTCGGCGACGACATCACGCTGGCGGATGTGTGTCTGGTGCCGGCGGCGTGGAGCGCGGCGCGTCTGGACGTCGATATCGCGGCGTATCCGACCATCGCGCGCATCGTGGCGAGAATGGAGGATGAGGAGGCGGTGAAAAAGGCGCATTGGAGGAATCAGCCGGATACGCCGGAGAAGTTGAGGTAGACTGCATAGGCAGCTGTTTCTGGTATAATTGCATTGGTGATGTTTGTGATGCATGTGATGTTATGTGGAAATGCAGTGTTTGCATTTAATTAATTGCAAGAATTCTTCCAGATAACTTTGTCTGTATAGGACTAGGTAGTAGAACACGTTCTAGACTGACATTGGCATGCGCGTACCCACAGGGAAGTATTGATATTGCATGTCTGCCGGAACGCGGATATCGGCATGGGAATGATACTTGACGGATAATTGAATGGTTTAATTCACTCGACTAGCAATGGCGTCAGTCTTGGGTAGCATTCAGATGCGACATTAGCATAGTAAACAGGTCTAATATAGTAGACTATTCTTCCCCGCAGGTAAATACTCCACCAACCATTTTCAATGAATCTTTGATGCTGTATTTTGACGGCAGATCGACAGGGGTCGCCCAAAAGTCGCCCGCCATCTCGCTCCACCCGTTATCAGTTCTCGCCGATACAACCGAATATTAATTAATGATAGCTTGATAAGGCCTCATCTCGTCCAGACTTCAATCCATCATGCAGCATGCGTCCTCCAGCTAAGCCCCAAGCCGCAAGGATCGGCAGCCACCCCGGCCAGGGCCCTGCCAGGCCAGAAATCATGCCATCGCCTCCTTTCTACGGAGTATTTCTCTCTTCACTCCGCAGCAGCGGGGAGTCGTTCATTGCCTTCCCCAGTCGCTTCTTTCCAGTCGTTCGTTACTGACCGTCATGCTGCGACGCCAGCTTCTCCTGTCGCTCGTTCTCTGCTTCAGTCGCTCGCTTGTCGCTGCGGACAACAGCAGCAGTCTTTCGTATGATGTCTTTCAATACGTCGATCCGTTGATTGGAAGCGCCAATGGAGGTGCGTATTTCCGTCTCTATCTGCCTTGCAGCCATCTGACCTTCCTTCAGGCAATGTGTTCGCTGGCGCGTCGCTCCCCTACGGCATGGCCAAGGCCGTCGCCGATACCGACTCGGACAGCAACCAGGGTGGCTTCACCCTCGATGGCAGCAACATCACCGGCTTCTCCACGATGCACGACTCCGGCACGGGGGGAAATCCCTCGCTGGGCAACTTCGCCCTCTTCCCGTATACCAGCTGCGCGAATGACACCGTCGACGGCTGCGTGTATCCCAAGAAGGCCCGCAAAATCCCCTACGTCAACGGCTCCGTCCAGGCGAGCCCGGGATACTTTGGCCTCACCTTGCAGTCGGGCATCCAGGTCGACATGACCACCGCCCAGCACACCTCCCTCTTCCGCTTCCAGTTCCCGGCCACCAGGGCCTCCAGCCCGCTGATCCTGATGGACCTGACGGACCTGTCGGACTCGCGACAGGACAATGCGACCATCACGGTGGACGAATCGACCGGCCGCATGACCGGCAGTGGACGGTTCTTGCCCAGCTTCGGCAGCGGTGACTACGTGCTCTACTTCTGCGCCGACTTCAAGAGCACGGCCAAGCTGCGCGACAATGGCATCTTCGTCGACTCCCGCGCCAGTGCCGACGTGAAGCACCTCAAGATCTCCCGCAGCATCAACGGGTATCCGCTGCCAGGCGGAGCGTTCGTCCGCTTCGAGGCTCCCCCGGACGACACGATTCTCGCCCGAGTGGGAGTCAGCTTCATCAGCAGCGACCAAGCCTGCTCCAATGCAGAATCTGAGATCCCGGACTTTGACTTTGATGCCACCCATTCGGCCGCAGTCAGCATCTGGAGGGAGAAGCTCAGTCCGATCCGCGTGTCCCGCGAGGGAGTGAACTCGTCCCTCCTCACCAGCTTCTACAGCAGCATCTACCGGACCATGATCAACCCGCAGGACTACACGGGGGAAAATCCCCTGTGGCAGAGTTCGGAGCCGTATTTCGACTCTCTGTATTGGTAGGTGATAGTTCCGTCTGCGCAGTCCTCAACAAACTCAGCTAATATTTTATTCATCAGTATTTGGGATCTCTTCCGCTCGACGCTTCCCTTCCTGACCCTGGTGGATCCTTCCACCGTCACCCGCATCGTCCGTTCCCTCATCGACACGCAGCAGCATTTAGGATGGCTGCCGGACTGCCGCATGTCGTTGTGCAAAGGTAGGAAGATCTGATGTGTCTGTGCTAGATTCCATCTGACGATCGATGAAGGATACACGCAAGGCGGATCCAATGCGGACAATGTCCTGGCCGACGCCTTCGTCAAAGGCCTGACGGACGGAATCGACTGGGAGGCCGGATACGCAGCGGTGCAGAAAGACGCCGAGGAGGAGCCGTACGACTGGTCGAACGAGGGCCGGGGCGGCCTCCTCAGCTGGAAATCGCTGCACTACATCCCCGTGCAGGACTTTGACTACCTGGGCTTCGGCACCATGACGCGCAGCATCTCGCGCACGCTCGAGTACAGCTACAACGACTTTGCCATTTCGCAGATTGCGCGCGGACTCAACAAGACGGCCGACGCGGAGAAGTATGAGGAGAGCTCGCGGTACTGGCAGAATCTGTTCAAGAAGGATCAGACGTCCTACCTGAACGGGACGAACACGGGTTTTGTTGGATTCTTCCAGCCCAGGTATCTGAACCAGACCTGGGGGTTTCAGGTAGGAAATGTCCGGGATGATGTTTTAGTGTATGGGTATTAATATGATATAGGATCCACTGACCTGCTCGAACATCGACACCAGCGGGAGAGCGTGCTCGCTTCAGAACGACGGTGCGGAGACCTTTGAATCCAGCATTTGGGAGTATCAATTGTATGTCCACCTCGCTGGCATTGACTACCTGCTGCTGACATCACAGCTTCGTGCCACACGACATGGCTACGCTGGTGACCCTGCTCGGAGGCCCGTCGCAGTTTGTCCGTCGACTGGACTACCTCCACGACCAGGGCATCACGTACATTGGCAACGAGCCGGCATTCCTGACGGTCTACCAATACCACTACGCCGGGCGACCCGGCAAATCGGCGCAGCGCGTGCACTTCTACATCCCGTCGTACTTCCAGCCCACGCCGGACGGACTGCCGGGGAACGACGACTCGGGCACGATGGGCGCGTTTGTGGCCATGTCGATGATGGGCCTGTTCCCGAACCCGGGGCAGAACGTGTACTTCATCACGCCGCCGTTTTTTCCACACGTCGAGATCCGGTCGCCGCTGACGAACCGCACGGCGACGGTGCGCGTGAAAAACTTCGACCCGACCTACCGCAGCATCTACATCCAGTCCGCGACGCTGGATGGGCGGCCGTACGCGAAGAACTGGATCGATCACAGCTTCTTCACCGAGGGCAAGGAGCTCGTTCTAACGCTGGGCCGCAACGAGAGTAGCTGGGGGACTCGACCGGAGGATCTGCCCCCGTCGCTGTCGACCAGGGGAGGAGCTAATCTGGAAGCAAGGTGGAGTGAAGACATGCCTTCGTATGCTGTAGGCACGCATCATGTCCGAGACCATCTCAGCTATCATGCGCGAGCGCTGAGAGGGAAGCATTTTGACATTTACACGTAGACGTAGACGCCTGTTGGAATAGCCAATGTAAAGCTAGGATCTATACGTGTAGTATATCTAATATATAGCTGGTTTAGCTTATATACAACTGATTAAATGAAATGTTCATCCTTGTACAGTAGTACAGTACATACATGTTGTCCATCTATGGTCCGTGCACCGGAAATCACCGGCTATTTGCCCTCCCACTCCCAACTCAATTCACCCGCCAGCAAACAAAATTCCCAACAACAGGCCATCTCTAGCATCGACTGCCGGCAATGGACCTGCTCAGACCCCCCGGCAGACGCCCCGCAACAGGCCGCGAATTCCAGCGCGCATACAAGGCGTGCCTGTCATGCCGGCAAAAGAAGGCCCGCTGCGATCTGGGCGGCAGCGGAGGACCCGGCGGCATCCCTCCCGGCCCGCCGTGCGCGCGCTGTCGGAGAGAGCAGCGGCAGTGTCTGTTTAGTGAGAAGAGGGCTTGGGAGAGGAAGAAGAAGGGTTAGTCTGTCCGTCCTGCGTTTGATAGTTCATTGGAAAATATGGGGGATGGTTGTTGACTGTTTTGCTGGCTCCGCAGCGGATAATACTATCTCGAGTCCGGCATCGTCAGCTCCGAGTAGCAATAGCAGTGCGGCGAATCTACGGTCACGGTCGATTCACGATGGTGAGAATGCTAGCCAACATGCCTCGCCTTCTCACGGCAGCGGCCTGACGAGCTCCATGATGCGCACTGTCGTCTCCAGCGGCAATGATGCGCTGAACCTACTATTCGAAGCTGCGGCGCATACGAATACCCAGAATGGCCAGCTGGAGCGGCATCATACGAGGGATGCCGGAGCCCGGAATGATTATAATAACAATGATTATCGCCCTGCGGCACAAAATATGCAGACTCCTGGGCCTGGCTCCGTTGGCACCAGTCCTGCTGCACCGGCTCCAGTCGACATTTCCAATCCCGGCAGAGATGTGCTGGACGTGTGGGAGTCGTGTCGTTTTGTCAAGATGGGCTGGTTTACGGCGAAGGAAGCCATCACCTACGTTGACCGGTAGGAATATGGTCGACGACCTGCGACGGAGTTGGTTGAGTTGACACTGCTTCAGGTTCTTCCAGAACTTATCCCCTTTGTCGCCCATCTTGACCGACTTCTATGCAAACCATCAGAATCACCGCCTGCTGGTCACGCACGAGCCCGTCCTCTGCTGCACGATCCTCATGATCTCCTCCCGCTATCACGTCCTCCCGGGCATCGGCGGCGCCTCGCGGAGCTTCTACATCCACCACCGCCTGTGGCAGCACTGCCAGAACCTGATCATGCGCGTCATCCTGGGCCAGGAAAAGTCCTCCAAATGCAACACGCGGACGGTCGGCACTATTGAGGCGTTGCTACTGATGTCCGAATGGCATCCGCGCTCGCTCCATTTCCCCCCGGAGAGCGACGGCTGGGACTCGGATTTGACCGTCAGCAACTCGTCGCCATCATCATCATCATCATCGGACGCGGACCGTTCGTCCTCGAATCGCTGGCTGGAAGACGTCATCGAGCCGGCGCGGCGATCGGACCGGATGTCCTGGATGCTGCTAGGCTCCGCGCTTTCGCTTGCCCACGAGCTGGGGATTTTCGAGACGGAAGAGCGTGGCAGCGCCTCAAGCGCCGAGGTCGCAGCCCTCGTCGAGCAGAACAAGCTCCGCAAGCGGCGCGTGCAGCAGCTGCTGTACGTGTACATCAACCAGCTCTCGGCGCGGATCGGATGCATGTCTCTGATGCCGCAGAGCTTGAACCACGCCATCGCCGGGGGTCTGTGGACGCCGGCCGATAAATCGAGCGAGGGCGACGAGTGGCAGACGTTCATGGAGTCGTGGATGGATCTGACGAAGCTGACGCGGTCGGTGAACGACATGTTTTTTCCGTCAGCGTCGTTTGCGAAGCAGCAGTGGCATAGCGGGCGGTATATTGGGCTGTTGGATCATTTCCGGCCGTTGTTGAAGCAGTGGAAAGAAAGACATCTTGAGTCGCAGGGTATGATACTTGCCAGGATGGTCCCTGACTACGAGTGATTGCTAAATGTACGTCAGGTCTAAACACCAACTTCCGCAACATCCTCTTCATCGAATATCACTACGTTAGAGTGTACACACACTCCTTCGGCATGCAAGCAGTCGTAGAGCGGGCTCTCGCTGACGACAGCACCAACAATAATAATAATAACAACGGCGAAGACTTCCGCCCCGTAAACATCGACTCCATCGACTACGAGTTCATCCAAGAAGTCATCGACGGATGCTGCGAGATCCTGAAAAAAGTAATCGACCTCGCCGCGTCCGACACGCTGCGCTTCTCGCCTGTGAGGATCTTCCTGCGCGTGACGAGCTCGTCTATTTTCCTGTTGAAGGCGCTCAGTTTGGGCGTGCGCCATGCAAAATTGCAGGAGTCGCTGGACGTGCTGGACCGGAGTATTCAGGCTCTGAGGTCTAATATCCTCGACGACGTGCATCTGGCGTCGAGGTATGCGATGCTTCTTGAGGTGCATGTCTCGCGCCTGCGACGGAATTTGGTAGTTTCGTCCTGCTCGAAGCCCCCAGGGATGAGTCTGAGTCACAGCCACAGCACGACCAGGCCGTCGTCACCTCCTCCTCCTCCTCCTCAGCAGCAGCAGCAGCAATATCAACAGCCATCATCCAGAAACAGGAACGGAACCGGCACCAACCCATCAGCAGCCACAACCCCAGACATCACCTTCGCTGCGCCATCGTCATCATTCCCAAATAATAACGAGGACCACACAAGAATCGATACTGCCGCTGCAGAAGACGACTGGCTCTTCTCGCTCCCCTTTGACCCATCAATGGCGCCGTTTGGGCCTGGAGGAGGTCAGTTTTCGGGCTTTGAGGGGGGGACGTTGGATTTTATTTGGAATCTGCCGGGTTGAAACATATACACATGTATTCAGGTGGATAGACGTCTGAAAGTTGCTTGGAAAAGGAAGGGAGTTCTGCTGTTCGGTTGGTTGGTGGGTGGGTAGGTGGGTAGATATCGAGATGAGCTGATATATATACCCCTAATCAAGACCATATCTATTCATCCATCCATCTATCCATCCATCCATACTCGATGATTCATCGAGCGATTGATCAATCGAGCAGGAATCGAATCGCGCAAGATGAGTCACGTTCGTCAGACACCTTTTTTTTTTCGCTCTCATTCAAGTTCATTCCCATTCTCAGTAATGACGAGCATTGATATTATATTTGAGATGATATAGACCTGGAAATAGCCTACCCGTGGATCAGGAAAGGGAAAAAAAAAGACCACCTTCGTATGTGTTTTTGTTGCATTGCATTGCGATGATGTCGCTGTACAGTACATACATACAACGTCGTACCTTGACGGAAGGGACCTTCGACGGAAAAAGCATGGAAGGTTCCATCATCTCTGGCCAGACCACATGGAATACCCGTGACTTAGGTATGCATGTAGTCGGAGGATCCTTCCTCCATTGTATCTCATGGTTCATCCTTCATAGCAAATGCATTATGTCATTAAGCATTGACGGATGAGGTAGGACATGTCTGTCTGTCTGTCATTCATCTGAATATTATAGTCAGAGAGTGAGAATCACCCCCGTCTAGTAGGAAGTAGTAGCAAGTATATTTACTACTCTAACTCAGGATTAGGATTGTGGTTTATTTTTATTGCCATGGTAATATAATAAATATAGCTAATTAACTAATGGCTGTACAGTACATACATGCATAGTATGTATATATAGCACACAGGTAGATACAAGTTAAATATGAAATCGACAAAAAATAAGTACTTGAGTTAGTTGTATTTTGTTTATTTACAGGCCTTTCTCTAGTAGTTAGTGTATATACATACGTATTTAGATAAAATAAATGAAGAGGAAAGGAGAAGAGTAGAATGGTTCACTTTTATAAGTTTTAATAAATAAAATAATCTGTCATTTTGTGACAAACAGTTTCGCCGTTACTGAACCGAACTGAATGGATTAATGGATACAGTGTAATTATAGTAATTTAATAGTATATTGGAGTGTAATATTTCTTTTTCTTTTTCTTTTCTTTTCGTTTTCCCTTCTCAATGATAATGATATGATAGAGAAAAAAAAAGTCCATTGAAATAAAAATAAAAAAATAAAATACCCCGTACGGAGTGGGAAATCTCCTCTTTTTTTTTATTGAAAACTTGGAGTAAGTTTAGTTCCATTAGAAATAATAACATTGTAAGATAGAACGAAGATTATTTTTTTTCTCTTGCAATGCTAGATTGCTTATATTATCGTTATTTGAGATCTATATTTTCCTTTTTTTTGGCAATTGGTTATTTTTGTTTTTGTGCAATTTTCACTTCGTTGTGCTCCGTACAGTACAGTATTAAAAAGAAAAAAAAACTCCAAGAATTTATTTTTTTTAGAGATGGATTTCTCTATTATCATTTTGTTTGTAGATAGATATATCATACTAGATTTTTTTTTCTATGTCTTTAGCTGTGCTTTGATAAGCCCGGGCGGTGTGCTAACGTCTCCAGAACCGCTCCACTCTGACAGCTGCCAGCTATCCGCTAAGCACAACTTGCTCCGACAAGCTCAGCATTGTTTCACGACAGGATGATGGCTCTGGCCTTCGTTTCTCAGTTTGACTACGACTACTACGGATAACTGTCTATCTGCCAGACTGCGGATAAATTCTTGTCATTCTTTGCGCAGCAGAGAGCCTCCGGAACAGCCTACTCACACCCTACTGAACCGACTGAACCGGCTGAACCGACTTGACCCGCAACGACATGCTGCGAGCGGCGATCATATAGAGGATACCATGGCGCCAACCGATCCTGCTGACAGCCAATCCAGACCTGCGCTTGCAGATTTGGGCGCTGGACCTAATGGCACCGTCGAGGAAGACCGGCCAGAGCAGACGCAGGACAGAACTGAAACCCAGCTAGAATGCGACTCCGCGTCGTCGCTGAAAGAGAATCTCCGGAATGGCGAGGATGGCGAGGACAACCAGCCAGATGGAAATGGGATTGCAGACAAAAATATGAGACAGGATGGTACAGCATCAGGGCATTCCAGCACACTCGCCGACAAGGCCGGACCTGACGCTGGATTGCTTCCAAACGGGTCGCAGGGCAGCGCGTCCAGAGAATCATCCCCCCGTCGAGGCCAGAGGGAGGTCTTGAAACTGTCTCCAGCCAGGATGGAGGAGCTGACGACTTCTCCCGACTCGATCCCTGTTCGCACGATACCCAACGAATTTGACGCCAAAACCGACACAGCCGGCGTCGACACAGTCGCTGCCGACACAGCTCAATCCTTGCTGTCGCTGCAGACCACGCCCGAAAGCCCCAAGCCCCGTGAGTCCAGACGGTCCTCCAGCGACACAAAGACGGAGACGCCTCGGAATCAGGTCAAGTCCAGAAGCGGCAGGAACATCCACCTGGACGACCCTCCCAAGTTCCTTGTCTCTGCCGAAAATCCCCCGGCGTCTGCGCCCGTCCGGCATCGAGCTCAGACGTCCCGGGTGGTCTCGAGTCCGGTTTCGCGCTCCCGGCGAAATTCGGTCGGCGCCGAACAGCGTCTGGCTCAAAACTCGACAGCCCGGTCCAAGCCAGACCGGCCCACTCACATCGATCTCGAGGCGAAGAATAACCTCGCTGCCTCGCAAACTGCCGATCCCGTTCCTTCGCCGATGCCTCAGTCTATCCCGCTCCCACCCCTGTCGATTCCTACGTACCTCCAGCTGGAACTGTCCTCTTCTCGTCCGTCCCCTCTGTATATCCACCGCTCCGCGACGAGCGATTTTCCTTACGAGTCGTCGCGCGTCAAAATCGAGAGGCTTCTGAATTTTCTCCTGCTTCCGCCGGCTCTGGAGCAGGTGCTGTTGTTTGGGACTCTGGCATGTCTTGATTCGTGGTTGTATTCTTTTACGATCCTTCCCTTACGTTTTATCAAGGCTCTCTATATATTAGTTACGTCTTGGGTTGTCAATTTGAGTGCGGAAATCAGGTTTATTACCGGTTTCATTGTCAAGGGTGTCGGACGCGTATGGCGGAGAAGGAGGACCCTGACAGGGCAGCAAGACAGCTCTCCGCGAACTGTCTCTGGCAGTTCGACTGCTATCAAGGAGACAGCAGTCACCGATCGAGAGACCCGTAACCGATCCAACACTCGGCCGGAAGGAGGCCGGCGTTCGCGGCAGTCGATGAGTCTGAAGCACCGCAGACAAAAGTCGATCCCCTCGGCGTTGTTGCCAGACAATAAAGCCGATATCCTGAAAGGATTCCTGATGATCTCCACCTGTATCGTTCTGATGCGTTTTGACGCGAGTCGGATGTACCACTGGATCCGAGGACAGGCCGCCATCAAGCTGTATGTCATCTACAACGTCCTCGAAGTCAGCGACCGCCTCCTTTCCGCTATCGGGCAGGACGTGCTGGAGTGTCTTTTCTCCCGCGAAGCGCTGGAACGAAAGCCGGATGGTCGCAGCAAGGTGCTGCGGCCCTTCTGGCTGTTCATCCTGGCCCTTGCGTATACTGTCCTCCACGCCACGTCGCTGTTCTACCAGGTTATCACGCTCAACGTGGCGGTCAACTCGTACTCGAATGCTCTGATCACCCTCCTCCTGTCCAATCAATTTGTCGAGATCAAATCGACCGTCTTCAAGAAATTCGAGAAGGAGAACCTGTTCCAGTTGACCTGCGCAGATGTGGTCGAACGATTCCAGCTCTGGCTGATGCTGATTATCATCGGCTCGCGGAACATTGTCGAAACCGGCGTGTTTAGTTCCTGGGGCAGCCTGGGCTCGGGCCTGAAGGACCAGGCCGCTGCCAGCACGAACAGCACGCCTCTGTCGAGTTCGCCGCGGACCTCGACCTCCATCCTCCCTCAGTCCTTCACGCTCTTCCCGTCATCGCTGCTGAGCTCGTTGAGCGGGGCGAATTCCATCCTGCCCACTGTCGCCCAGGTGCTTGGTCCCTTTCTGGTGGTGCTGGGATCGGAGATGCTGGTGGACTGGTTGAAACATGCGTACATCAACAAGTTCAACAACACGCGGCCGTCCATCTACGGCCGGTTCCTGGACGTGCTGGCCAAAGACTACTACACCAACGCGTTCGCGGACCAGAACCTGACGCGCCGCCTGGGGTTGCCGGTCATTCCCCTGGCGTGCCTCTTCTTCCGGGTGTCGGTGCAGACGTATCAGATGTTCCTCACGGCCTGGCTGCCGCAGCATCCGTCACCGACGCCGAACACGACGTCTCTGTCGTCGATCCATCAGCAGCACTACTCGTCGCGACCGTCACCGTCCGCGTCGCCGTTCAGCTTGCAGTCGGCCATTCCCGCCTCGGTCAACCGCTTGTCGTCTTTCATCAGCTTCGTCATCAACAATGCGATCCCGTCGCCGGCGCGCTCCATCCCCGTGTTCACCGTGACCCTCGTTCTGACGGGCTACGTCATCCTGCTGCTGGTGAAGCTCACCATGGGCATTCTCCTGCTGTCGTACGCGCGGGCGCGGTACAAGGCGATGAAAGACCGGGAACGCGAGCACTTGCAGAAGCCGACGCAGGCCCATGGCCGCGAGCACACGGTCGAGGGGAGCCGACGCGTTGGCGGGTGGGGGGTGGTCGAGGTGGACGGCGACAAGCGGCGGTGGATCTACGCCGACGATCCGGAGGGGTTGCGCAAGCTGAAGGAGCGTGAAGAGCGGGCCAAAAACGCCAAAGACGGGCCAGCCCTGGAGGGCGTGAATCGGTACGACATGGTAGCGAAGCGAATATGGTAACTTGTTGCGGAGCGAAGCGTAGCAACAACATGTACAGTACACACATACATGGTGTTTTGAACACGTTTGCTTGTATAGTACGGAGTAATAATGATAGACCTACGACTTAGACTCGTATTGAAGTAGTGTCTATCGATATGATAACATTTACCCGCATCGATATGTAGGACGAATTAAATACTGTAGTAAACAACAGCTCTACCCTGTGTATAATTCTGATCAATCCGGAGCAAGGATCGATCGATGATACTTAGAGATGTTAGTACATGCATACCAGTCACTGACTGACTGATTGACTTGCTCCAAAGAATAGAATGATTTATGCTTATCCACAAGCATAAATGAATGATAGTTGTGCAGTCACCTGCCTGGCCAGCTGACGATGCTCCTCGCCTCCGTCTTTCTTCCTTTCTTGCCTGCTGGACACTTGACACCTCATCTGTTCCTGTTAGTCAGTTAGTTGCAGATGCCTACTCATTACCAAGCACTCCACTTCGCTTCGTTCGCTAATCGTGTGTACAGAGTACTGCCCAATCGTTCCGACTCTGAATAGACGTTCGTTGATCGATGAACCAACCTCTCTAGTCGAGCCTAGTCGAGTTGATCGTGGATCGCATCCGGAAACCGCGGTTTTTTTCGGGAGTTGAATAATCAGATAATCAATCAGATCAGATTAGTCCTCCTGCAGAGTCCAGACTTTGCTGAAGAAGATCAATCATCTGGCCGTCTCGATCAATCGATCGAGCTCTTTCTTTGTCCGCGTCGTTTTTTTTTCTTTCTTTGTCGGGGATACTCCGGAGTAGTAAAGTAAGTAAGCGTGTCCGAATGATTTCTTTCTTGTCCCATCTGGACAAGATTGCGGAAAAGGGCTGACGACGATCATCAGTCAGGACTCAAGCATAGCAAGAAATAAAATTTATGACTGAGTTAAGCTCACTCATAAGTTATGCACGGAATAACTGACTGTCTTGCGGCCGCCGGCCCGCAGAATCCACCAGAAATGCAAAAACATTGTCGCCTATTGATTGATTGATTAAATTATTGCCCCGTTGACTGGCCGCTCCGCTCGCTCGCTGTCTTTGTTTTGTTGGGCCGGACCGGACGGAGTACCTCGGCGTTTCGCTGCCATCAACCAGCCATTAACCATTGCCATTCATTCATTCATTGCTCATTATCCTCTCGGGAATTGCTCCAGCTCAGCTGCTCGCTTCCCCAGGAACAGTAATGACAATGCGCCCTGCCCCGTCGGCAGATATGTCCGGTGACCAATTGTGTGTTTTTGAGTGCTGACGAGGCCATGACCATGTATCGGTTGTATCCTCTCTCTCCTCTCCAGCTCCCTCCGCCGACATGTTCCCCGCATCCGGTTGGGCGCCCTGCGGCCCCTCGCCCTTCCATAAGAAGGAGGGCTTGCGTCGTGGCCAGCTGGAGTCAGATTTTGGCAATGGATTTAGATTTTAGGCTTGCGGAAACCCCGCCGGTGAAGCCGCCGTTCTAGACAGGCGAAATCATTTAAATAGGTGAAGCTGGCCCTTCTTGTCGTTCGCTTTTCTACCAGACAGACAACCCAGACGAGAAGACAAAAGACAAGAAGAGAAATGAAGAACCAACAAGGAACCCCTGCGGGGCCCCAGGAGGAGATATATCTCCTCAAGCGCGACAAGGTGGAGTCTGAGCGGTATGTACAATACAGTCCAGACAGTCCAATTTTTGGGACTGCGACGCTGATAGGTCCCTTGGCTAACACCCTGGCAACTTAAGGCTCAACGAGCAACACAAATTCCTGGTCACAATTTGCGGGGGAAGTCCTATCCACGAGTCGATTCCCAAGGACCGTCTGTTTTCGATTGCCGACGTGGCGACGGGCACGGGGTGAGTCCAGCTGCCCTGCACTCTGTCTGGATAATACTCGTACAGGGAAAATTGCTAACTAAGGGACCGCAGCATCTGGCTGAACCACGTTTCGGACCTGCTCAAGAACAACCATCCCACCGACCGCCCACGCTACTACCACGGCTTCGACATCTCCGACGCCCAGTTCCCAATCCCCGCCGAGCGCGGTTCCATCGAATATTCCGTGCATGACTGCCTCAAGCCGTTCCCGGCCGAGCATCACAATCGCTATGACCTGGTGCATGTGCGGCTGCTGGTGGCGGCCATCCGGGAGCAGGACTACAAGGTGATTGTTGCGAATTTGGTGCCGTTGTTGAGTGCGTCCGTCATCATTATTTTCTTCTTTTTTGGTCAATACTGTACAGTACATTTACTAATGTTGATAATGCCAGAACCCGGCGGCTACCTCCAATGGGACGACCTCGACCTAATCTCCTTCTTCCCGCCAAAGGAGGTGCCGCAAAACACATCCTACTTCGAGACAATGCGCCTAGTCGCCAACGCGCAAATCTCACTCGGCGTCAGCCCCCACGTCCCAGACACAGTCTACCAAGCCGCGAAAACCGCAGGCCTGGTCGACGTAACGAAACACGACTGGCGCACAGCCGACCACCCGGAGCTCGCAACGACGACGCAGAACTGGGTGTTCAAGGTGTTCACGACGATGATCCCGAGTGCGCTGCGCAAGGCGAAGCTGGTCACCGACGAGGAGAAGGTGCAGCAGGAGGCGCAGCGGCATTTGGAGAATGTCAAACGGGCGTTTTTTGTTGAGGGTGTTGTGCCGAATGGGGTTATGGGGCAGGTTGTCGCTAGAAAGGCGCAGGAGTAACATCGCCTGTCGTGAGTATATATACGTACATACAAGAATGTGGGATGAGATGATGTGAGATGATATATAATAAATCTATCTATCTACATTAGCTAGCCTAGTTAGATGGCTCTATCCTAGTTAGAAGTCGATATGAATGAAACTTGGAACATACATACATCTTCTATTGCATCGAAAACCACATCGCCTTGTATTTTTTTTTAAAAAAAAAGTAATTTTTTTTTCTCAAAAGAGATTCTCTGCTCTGCTCTACCTGCTCTGATTTGCTTGATCTGCTCGATCCAATCTAATTTCTAATCCATGATAGGATTATCCATGTATGTAATGTGCAACATACGTACAGTACAAACCTATCTATACGTATCTATGCATGTATAGATACCTAGTACCTAGGTCGGTAGCTAAGAGGTAAATTCCACAGCATCGTATCTAAATAAAACGACCGATAAATCGATCGAGTTGCGTTCACGCATTTTTGGTAAGATTTTCCGTAAGAGGGTAAGAGGGTAATGATAGACACAGCTAGAATAGATACAGTAAGATTTTTTTTTCAAAAAAAAAAGACAAGCGTAGATACGGAGTAGATAGATAGTAGATAGATATATGCATCATCATCATCATCATCGTTATTATCGCATTGCATGGCATTGCATTGAAATTGAAATTGATTGAATTGAATTGGAATTGAGATTGATTGATTGATTGATTGATTAGCACTCAAGCAAGAAATCATTCATTTAAACTGATTGACATCGACATTGACATTCTTATTATATTCAGCTGTATTTATTTACCTATTTTATTTCATCTGATGTAAAAAAAAATAAGTGCACAGGTACTGTGTCATACTATCACATACGTAACATAACAAACAGCCAGCTAGCTTAGGTAGCCAGCTAGCCAGCCCCGAATGGAACACACCGTACAGAGTATATAATCGAAAAAAATCGAAATCAAATGCATGAACGACCGAACGAAATGGGTAAGAATTAACTAGTGCGCTCAGACTCTATCGGTCAGTTCGACTGGTCTATGTATTTTTGTATATATCTATCTATATATCTAGGTATCTACTGATTGACGGTAATAGCCATAACCATAACCATAGCCAAAGGAGGAAAAAAATGAAATGAAATAAAATTACCAAAAAAGAAAAGACAAAATAAGAATGATGATGATGACAACAATGAGAATATGTAAATGAACAATAAATGGCATTGACATTGACATTGACAATGATAATGATAATGACAATGATACTCATGAACGCCATTATATTCTCCTCCCCCCCCCCTTTTTTTTTCTTTCTTCATTTGCTTATATGTATTGCTTATAAGTATTGCTTATAAGTATTGCTATACCATATCCTTCGTATATACTCCCTCCCTCTCTCTCTCTTCACTCAGATTTCCATCTACTACTACTACTACTGCTACCGCTGCTGCCTTTCAGAGGCAACTTCTCAAACACCCACCGGAAAATCTCCCGGCTCTTGTACAGGTTCGCCACCCGCAGCCGCTCATTCGCCAGATGCGCATTGTCGCTCGCTTGCCCGCACGGCAGGTTCGCTGCCGGCGCAGAGAATTCCTTCTCCAGGAACCGGATTGTTGGGATGGAGCCGCCTTCGCGGATGTAGATCGGTTTGACGGGTGTGCGCGGTGCGGCTGGCGCAGGCGCTGGGGAGGGTGAGGATGACGATGGGGGCGAGTTTCGCTGTGAGCCGTTTGCTGCGGGAGTGCGAGCTGCCGTGGATGGTAGAGGTGACGTCTGATCAGATGCGACTGTGTTTCCCTTGCTCGCGTTGCTGGTCAGAGTCGAAGACGTCGGCACGGTCGTCCCGCCACTCGCCGACTTCTTCCTCAGCGCCTTCTTCGACGACGTCGACGAGATGATCCGGTCAATGTGCGACGCGATGCTGTCCGACGAGTCGGTGCGCAGCAACTCCGGCCCTCCTGCTCGCCCGGTCCCTGGAATCCGCTCCTGCGGCAGCGGGTAGTTGTGTCGTTTGCCATCGTTGTCAGGCGTCCATGCCGCCGTAATCGCTTCCGCTAGCGTCTCGAAGATCTCGTTCTCGGGATCTCCCAGCCACGGGTCCGACTTGCCCGTGATCTCCACGGTCAACTCGTTCTGCGAGTCCAGCAGGTCGAACTGCTCCTGCGCGTACGCCGTCAAGGCGGTCGCCACTTCGTCCGCATCCTGATTGGGAACGATCCGCACCGAAAGACTCGCTTTCGCCCGGCGAGAGATGGTCGTCCCGGAGTTCTTGTTGCTGGGGACTTCGACCGAATGAATGGTCAGAGATGGCTCCCGCCAGCGATACATGAGAGACTTGGTAAACGCCTCCCGGTCTGGTATCTCCGGGTGATGCGGGAGAAGGGATTCCGCGATCGCGTCGTACCGTTGCTCCTCCGCCTTGGTCAACCCCAGCACGCGGTCGTGAAAGCCAGGGAACTTGATCTGGCCTTTGCGTCCCACGAAAGTGGCCAGGAGCATGGAGAGATCCTTCAGCGGCTCATCCAGCAGGGCGCTGCCATCGATGCCGCTGTGCAGGTCCGGATGGTCGCTCGTGACGATCAGATTTGCATGAACCACACCTCGAAGTCCATACGTCAGGCACGGGATGTGGTCATCCAGCCAGTAGCTGTTGGCCAACAACACCCAGTCGACGTTTCCAATCAGATCTTTGTTCTCCCGCACGGTTTCTTGGAACCCTTGCGATCCAGACTCTTCCTCGCCCTCGATCAAGAAGACCACGTCACAAGGCAGTGTCTTCTTCCGGGCCAGGTCAGCGGCTGCGTACAGGGCCGCCAGAATGGGACCCTTGTTGTCAGAGACACCCCGGCCATACAGGAACCCGTTGATTGAGGTGAGATGCCATGGGTCCGTTCGCCATTTCGGCCGATTCGTGTCCGCTCCCACCACGTCGTAGTGGCCGTAGAACAGCAGCGTTTTAGGCGTCGATTGCGGCGCAGAAGCCGAAAATCGTGCGTAAACGACGGGGTTGGTATCCGGGCCCGTTGGTAGGAGCTTCGTCTTAGCACCCAAGTAATTGCAATGGCGACGAAGGAATGCAGCGCCCTGGTTGCATTCGCCGGCGAACTTGGGGCTCGATGAAATCGTCTTGAACGCGACGAACTTGGCCAAGCTGTTGACCATCTCGTCTGGGAGATGTCAGTCTGCGCATGTAACTATATCCATGATGAATACGCACCATTCCCGATCGGTTGGATTTCTAATTGCGCCGGATGTTCCGTCAGGTCCCAGATAGCAACACTGTTGTCATTGCCTCCGGTGGCGTAGATACGCCGGTCTTGAAACACGCCCGCAGCTGATGCCAGCATGGTGCCTTCATGAGCGGTCCAGGATCCGATCTCTTCAAACTTGGAGTTGAATTTCTAGAACGACATTAGATTGATTCCGTTGGCGGTCAAATGTGATACATACCTTGACCACTCCATGCGAGTCGCCGCTAATGGCGATCCCCTTGACGATGTCAATCGCCCATAGGTCTCCCTTGTGCTCCGTGATCTGCTTGACCAGTTGATGCGTTTCCAGGTTCCAGATATTTAACGCTCCGCCCTCGAGACCGCAGTAGAGCAGAGGACCCTCCACGGCGAGAGACAGCACGGCATCGCTGCCATTATCCAGTTTGGCCCACTGGACGGGGGCGCCGTTCATGCCCATGCCCAGGCGCCAGAGCTTGACGGAGCCGTCACCGGAACCGGTCACCAAGACCTCCTCGGATGGGGAGGACTCGACCAGGCCGCGGACGAGGATCATGGAGTATACATAGCCATGGTGGGCGAACAGGCGATGATGGTCCCGCTTGAAAGTCAGGACCTTGCCGCCGTGACTGAGCGGATGGTGGCCCGCAGAGTTCGAGTCCTCTGGACGGGGATTGACACTGCCGCCGGGACCACGGGAGTCAAAGAACCGGTGGGTGCGCTTTGACGGATGCACATGGTTCGCAAGGGACGCAGCCTCGCTGGTCGACAAGTCGCACCACTAGCCATGTCAGAACAAGGTACTTTTTATTCAGCACGGATTTCATACCTGGAGGCTCGTGTTCTGGCCACCGCAGTACACCGTCTTCAGATCGGACGAGTAGACGACGGCGAAGATGTCGCCCACGTCGTGGTGGGAATAGATGGAGTACAGCCGTTCAAAGGTGGCCGTCGACCACACCTGCACCGATTGTTACCCGACGGTCAACCTGGTAGACAGTCTGGAAGGATGGCATACATTTACGACGGAATCCCCGCCGCTGGAGAACAGCAAGCTCCCATCATCGGAGAGATACAGACCCAGGACGCTCTCCTCGTGCGCCCGGACGGAGAGCACGAGTTCATACGTCTCTAATGACCAAGCCTTGGCACGGAATCGTCAGTATCATTTTTTTTCTTTCTTGACTGGAAGAAAACTTCCAATGGCTACGCACCACTATGTCGCCGCCCTGCAAACCAGCAAAGACGCACTCCTCGTCCAGAGCCAGCGCCAGGACGGAGCGACTGGCCTGGACGCGGTGGCCGACGGCACAGTCATTGTGCAGGGTGGCCTCGCGGGGCAGATCGGAGCCGGCGTCGCTGGAACGGTCGCTGCAGGACGACGAGATGTGCAATTCGCCGTCGGACGGGCCATCCGAATCGACTAAACCATCCATCACTCCTTAGCTTGGGTTCTTCTCTCGTTCAGCGGTGCAGCAGGCTGCTCGTTCTTGCACCTGGAAGCGACGCCACAGTCTCCGGGTCTAGGCCGGGCAGTGGAGGTCGCGGGTGTGGCGGTGCAGAAGACTAGCGGAAAGGGAAAGAGCAATGGGGAAGCGCAAGTAGAAAGTGGAAAAATGGAAAGTGGAAAGCGCGTACCTCGCATCGTGCCTGCCCTCGGCCTCTTCCAGCAGCACGCGGGCCTGCAGTCACGGTCAGCTGCTAAGTCTTGGCAGTCAGGTGACGAAGCAGCGGTGAGAAGAGAAGTCGGGGACACGGTCGCAAAAAGCAGCGTCTTTCTCCAGAACAACAGACGGTGTGGTGGTGAAAAGCAATCAACAGATTACCCGCAGAGGTGATGTACTCGCCTTGGTTCCCAGCAGAGCCGTGCGAGGGGAGTAGCGTCGCGACTCATGGCCAGAGCCATCCTGCGCCCCTGGCTCGGGAGGATGATGCCATCCGAGGGCAGAATGATGGGATAATGTCAGGGGGTAGATCAGCAGAATAACAATACTCCGCAATAATAACTCCTCACTGCAATTCATTCAGCTGCAGTGTTTCCTGTGTGCAAAGGATGGACTGGGAGGCGATGCCATTTCTCTTTTATTTTATCGACCGTCGCAGCCAGCGACGTGGTCATAGTCACACTACGGATTCCGACAGCGTGGAACCGATTAGGATGCATGGCCTCCTTGCCAATCGAATGACAAGAGGTAATAATACGATAGCCACTTTGCCCATTATCAAGAAAAAGCTAAGGAATGTATACCGCCCGAATTCAACGCAGAGATAAGACCTCGTCCTAAAGTCATATGACTGCGGAGTACTGAACCTCTATTTTGGCTCTCATTTATACTTACAGTAGTAGTATATAGTAGTACTTGCTTCAGCTAGATCTATGGGCTCTCTAAATGTAGAAATTGCCAGGAACTAGCCTGCCCCAGACCAGCCCAAACGACTCTTCTTGTAGCGGTTCTCTCAGATAGATTAAGAAGCTCGTCCTATTTTTGGGACACGTCTCGGATGGGAATACAGTACACATTTACTCTGTAATCTGATAGCACCCATCTGCCAAGGCTTCAATAAAGTAAGAAATAGTCTAGAACCTTGGAAACACTCCACAAGGCTGAACGAAGCGGGTTAATTTGTATGGGAAATGCTTGTTGACATGGTCCCACTTCAGCTGTAGATATTGTATCTGAAATAGCCATCACAGGAGTCAAAGAAAAAAAATTGATTTCTCCAGCCTGGTCAAGGATGTGCAAGGAAGGATCCAGGACGCGATCTGGCTGTTGATTCTATCAGGTACCGAATTATAGTATCGATTAAATAATGAATGAATAAATAGGATCAGGAAAGTCGAAATATTAAATTCGTACAGATTAGTTGACTTGGGAAAAGAAGATATCATGGTCTGACTATCACCTGCAAAGAGCTAATAATCCATCTTAGGGCGTATTAACTGTGAAGAACTGGAGACATAATGAAATCTTATTTCTTAAGAATGGTACTGTAGGTAGGGAATTATTCTACATCAGAGACACCTTACGATGCCACATCTATACTCCTTGAAATGTGATAATAACAATAATCCCCAGAGTCGGTCAGCCTCACATTTGATGGAGAGTGAACTGTGGAGAGCCACTGTTCTGGTTCGGCTGGGGGCCAACCTAACTAAGCCCGGACCATGTCTCGAGCCTCGGCCATCTCTCCGCACTGTCGGTTAAACAATCCTCAAGGTTAATTTTCCAGCTGAGAGATAACTACCTACTCTAGGAGAAAACCTATCCATGAGCTAGCCTTGTACAGTATAGATGTAGATGCTATGGTGCGCTCTAGTGTTGCGCGCCCACAAGTCCAGGGGATAGATAATCCCTGTTAATAACTACAATTTCCAACAAGCAATCCTGTCTCATATTTCGAAGGGGGGAAAGAAATTATCGGCTGCCTTCGAAAATCCTTCGAATCATGCCATCCCCTTCAGTCTTCCGTTTTCTGGTATGATTGCTCTTTTCAATTGGGTCTGGTCTCCGGTCCATCGCATCGCAACTGATTTCCAAACCAGCTCGTTCTCTTCGTAGCCCTAGGTAGCTTCACTTATGGCTATTGCTCCAGTATCATCTCGACCACGCTGGCCCAACCGTCCTTCGTAAGCTATTTTGCGCTGGACACGCGACGCAATGCGGCCGATCTCGAAGGCGCCATCAACGGTCTCTTCCAGGCCGGTGGTCTCCTCGGCGCGCTGTCGTGTACCAAAACGGCCGATTGGTTTGGTCGTCGCAAGGCGCTCTTGCTGGGAGCCACTTTTTCCGTCGTCGGGGGGTGCGCTGCAGGCTGGAAGTGTCAATATCGCTGAGTACATTGTGATGCGCTTTGTCACGGGAATAGGAATTGGTGAGCCCACGCCGCCACGCAGCAAAGTCGCGTTCCCCCCCGTGTTGACTTGTGACAGGTGCCTTGGTGGTGCTTGTTCCGCTGTACCAGAGTGAGCTGGCTCCGCCCAAGATTCGTGGCCTGCTCGTGGGCATGCATGGCGTCTGCATCTGCATTGGCTACGCGCTCTCCAGCTGGGTCGGACTGGGGTTCTACTTTGTCAGTGCGTCCGGCGCGCAATGGAGAATTCCGCTGGCGATCCAGTGTGCAGCGCCGTTAGTTCTCGCATGCGGAGTGCTGTTCCTCCCCGAATCGCCTCGATGGCGTAAGTGGATCATCAAAACTCACTATCTAGCAAGGGACACCGGACATGCTGCTAAACCAACGTTCAGTTCTGACGCAGGACCGCGTCGAGGATGCCTATCGTGCTTTCGTGCTTACCCACGGGGACAATGGGACGAGCTCGGACGATTCAACCGTGCGCAGTCAATTCGACCAACTCCACGCGCAACTGCTCCACGAGAAGCGGAATGGTGTCAGTCTGGTCGAGCTGTTCAAGCGCCCTACCCTCCGGAAACGATGCGTCATTGGATGGTTGACCATGTTTGGTGCTCAAGGCACCGCAACGCTGGTGATCAACAGTACAGAAGCTCTTGACACTAATAAAGACGTGCCAGCTGACTGCGACTCCAGATTACGGCCCCATGCTCTACGGGCGTCTCGGTTTCAATACAGTTCAGCAGCTTCTGATCCAGTGTGGCTGGATCACGGTCTGCCCCTTTGGTAACTGGCTCAATGCGCTCGTGGTCGATCGCATTGGCCGAGTCCGCATGCTGAGTGAGTGATCCTTACCCCAAAGAGGGCTGATTCTGGGCTGATTCTGATCTGTTCCCAGTGTTTGGCTTTGCGTGCTGCGTTGTCGCGCTGGTCGGAGAATGCATTACGCTGTCTATCTTCCAACGCACTGGCGATCGCGGGGTTGCATCGGCCGCGGTGTTCTTCCTTTTCCTGCACATTGGATGGTAAGCGTCAGCGTTAGAATGCAGAGAGCTCGCGTCGAAGCTGATTGATGCTAGCTTTTCCTCGTCCGTCGATGCGACGTCCTACATCTACGCGTCGGAAATCTTCCCAACTCCGGTTCGAGCGAAGGGATTATCCGTCTCCATATCGGGGCTCTTCATTGCGACGATTCTCTTCCTTCAAGCGGCGCCCACGGCCTTTGACAATGTGGGTTGGAAATACTATCTGGTGTTCATCTGCGTTACGTCTGCCATCTTTGTTGTCATGTGGCTGTTTTTTCCGGAGGTATGTCAATACACCCCTTCTTGTTCGGAAAACACCTCTGACGGAAACAATCCAGACCCGTCAGAGATCACTTGAAGACATTGGGGTCCTCTTTGGCGATAGTGAAGAGTCGCTGAAGCCTGCGGACGCCAATGAGATACAGGAGAAGGAGGAAGTTTCCAAGAGTGAGACTTGAGCTACGATCAGGCGAATGAGCCCGAAGGATCGGGCCACCAGCACTGCTCGAGAGCTATCGAACCCGTTGTATACTCCGTAGTATCGACATTGGAGATGCCTTACGAGACATCCTTCCAAGTAGCTTACTGTCGATAATTGATAACACTATCATCACTAATATACAATCCTACCAAATACTCGGCCAACTCGCGTCGATGTGTCTTGTGAGGTTGGGCAGAGGTGTTGAGTCATTTGACGTCACAAAAATGCGTTTGATTTAATAATAGAACGGATTAAGCTGATTGGCTGCAGTAAATGTATGCGTACCTGATAGACCGCAGGTTGCATCTCCTGCACTGTGATTGGTCCAGATCCATCCCACGTAACCGCACCAGCCACAGCTGCTGCGAGCAGCCAATCATCGCGCGGCCTGCCCGCCTGCTGTGCCACACCTGCCCGACACCGCCAGTTCTGGCCGCACTATCAGCCAATCAGCGCGTGCCTCGCCGACAGGCAACAGCGGGCGCTTCACCATCGCTGCCCTGCAATCACGGTGCGACAACGCAGTCCTCCACCGTTCTAAATGCCTCCTCGACTTGCGCCCTCTTTTCTCGCCTTTTCGTGTCACAGAATCACAATGCGGCAGACGCGCCAGGCCACCCAGTCCCTCCTCGGAACTTGTCCCTGTTCGTTGCTCTGCTTAACCCACCGTCCAGCCTGCCAGCCACCACCCCTGTCCTGTCACCCCCCACTGGCCGACGTGCGCATCGCTCAAATATCCGCTGCGTGGCCATGCTTGATGCGACAACACATGTCGAGTGCTCTCGAATATACTTGACGTGAGCGCGCATCCTGGTTCGTTTCGTTCCTTCACGTCTTCTCGTCGAGTCTGTGGACAGTGCATGGCTCGTAACGGTTATCAGCCATGGCTGCCCTGCGTGAGACGATAGCCGTGGTCGACAAGTCAGGGAAGGTCGTCAGCACGGTGAGTTTGTCCATTCCTCCGAAATAAATAAAAAAAAAACTGGCCGCAGGCTGACAACGTTCGTCTAGAGCAAGCATCTCTTTGGGGTCTTTAAAGAGGCCCGGAATGCCTATCGTGAGCGGAAGGCGGAGATTCTGGCAGAGAAACAGGCAGAAAAGCAGGCCCGGATCGCAGAACGGGAAGCCCGTCGAGCGATGGCCGCTCTCGCCATTGACGACAAGCGGTCCGTGGCTTCGTCGAAGAGGTCTGGGAGATCGAAGACCGGTCACTCTCGACATCACCGACACCACGATCGAGGCCTCCAGTACGAACAAGACCTGCCGCACATACAACAATATGGACGCCGACACACCGCCAATGACTTGATGGCCAAGGAGCCAGCTCCCGTTCTCAGTCGGTCCAAGACTGACTCCGTCGATATGGACCTCGCCTACGGTGAAGCACACCCCTCCGCGCTGCAGCGGTACGAGCCCGCGGGCGAAGTGGCCGCCAATTCCTCGGATGAGGAGGAGCTGCAGGGGCTGGTCGCAAAGGCCAAGAACCTGCTCGAGGAAGCAGATTGCGTGCAACACAGCGCGAACGCCACGATTGCCCACTTGCAGAAGAATCCGGACGCCATGGCCGCAGTCGCTCTCACCCTGGCGGAGATCAGCAATCTCGTCTCCAAGATGGCGCCGAGCATTGTCGCCGCCCTGAAAGCCAGCGCTCCGAGCGTCTTTGCTCTCTTGGCCAGTCCGCAGTTCCTGATTGCGGCCGGCGTGGGGATTGGAGTGACGATTGTCATGTTCGGCGGGTACAAGATCATCAAGAAGATCACGGCCGCGCCCGAAGATGCGAATCAGGACGGCAATGCGGAGAAAGCCATCGAGACCAACGTCGACGAGTTGATCGAGTTGCAGGATGAACACCTGAGCCGGGTGGAGATGTGGCGACGGGGCGTGGCCGACGCGGAAGCCGAGAGCATTGGCACGTCAGCGGATGGCGAATTCATCACGCCGACGGCGGCCGCCATGTCCGGGATCGACCTGACGACGCCGCCGTCGCCGTCGCGGGTATCGCGTTCGCGTTCCAAGTATGAAGACATGTCGACGGCATCGTCAAGACGATCGAGGCATTCTCGCCGCTCGCGAGCCAGCACGCACGGGGGCGAAGAGAAGAAGAAGCGAAAAGAGAAGCCGCACCGATCGAACAAGTTGAAATTGCTGTTCGTGTAGCGATGTACTGTACATCTTCATACCTTGCTCTGATCTATCTTCTTTTTTTTTTTACATTTATATTTGGGATTGAATTTCTATGCGACTATGTGATGATATACGAGTCTTGTCTCCGGTGTTATTAGATTTTCATGGGTCGATGCATTTGGACATTTGCCTTTTCCAGAAGGTTTTCCTTTTTTTTTCTTTTTTTATGGCGTTCACGAGAGCATGAAATGAATGATTCGAATCTTGTATCTAATTTCACTTTTTTTTTACTTGCCGTGAATGAATCACATGATAGAGGAATGATTCCTACTCAGACTCAGCCAGCGATGAAATCGAGAATTCAAGATCCAATATTCAAGATTCAGGGATTTCTTCACCGTTATACATGACCATCTGGTCCATTAGTCTATTAGTTTACTCCGTAACCTAGATGGATATTATTATAATTAATAATTAATTACTGGCGATATGTAAGGACATACATGCACAGATATCACAGACACAGGCACAGGCACAGGCAAAGGCAATAATAGTAATACAAATGCTTCTCTCTTATAATATATATATAGATATAGATATAGCGAGTGCAGTGCAGCAACTAAATGTAAAATGGCAATACCATTGACTCTCTCTCGTGCTAAGCTTCATGGATCCTCCATGAAGACATATATGTACATACAGTACAAGATATGGGATGATCCTTACACGTAATGGCTATGGATCAACCATGTGATCTGATCTGGGCGACTTACCATCCATAGGTACTTCCAGTATGTATGTATGTACATATACAACCTTCTACCTACCGTGACAGCAAGTTTTTTTATTTCTTTTTTAAAAAACCCCTTAGCAATCACTCATTTACTTATATATTCATATATTTATATACAAAATGAATAATAGTGATGATAAGAAGAAGAATAATAATAATAATAAATATCTGACTCACAATAGATACTCGATTTATAATAATTAATATACTCGATTGATGATACGACTGCTTCTGTTACGAACCAACAGGAGACAACGCTGTCCAACACAGCAATGCAGGATGAAACAGAAACCCCGCAAGGCAGCAACAGGGCAAGCACAAGATCACGTGATCAGTATACCAGAATACCGAGAAGCACGGACTGGTATGATGGTATGATCTACCGAAGGAGTATACCAAATGGAAGGTATGATGAGAAGGTATGATGACAAGGTTATAAAAGGAAGAAGGATTCTGGTCATGTATCTAGTCTTTCCTTAATCGCGCTCAATTTCAATTCATTCAAGATCGTTGTTACTAAGATACTTACTTTGGGGGTCAGTAAGACTTCTTACTACTAGTGGTATACTTCGGTATAGCTCTAGTAGGCGTTGCCTCTGACCTAGTCGTTGTTGTTATTCTTATTTTGGAGAGCTCCTACTTGTTGTGTGTGTCCCTGTGAGACCCCACTATATCGAGA